AAGAGTAATCTGATACAATTTGATGAACTTGACCTACACCTATGGATGCAGAAACTCAAAAGAGGGAACAAATCTTTACAGCAAGGATCATTCCCACCCCTCCATACACAGAGTAGACAGGGATGAGCAACTTGGACATAGGCTACCCAAAATGGGAGGACTACAAAGGCAAGAAGTGACTGGCTTACAAGCTTTCAAGAGAGAACTAGATCCAGAGGGCGTGGAGGAAGGTAGAATCTCCACTGAGTGGTAATCCAATCTGTCTAGGCGGGGTTGATGAAAGGAAATGGGGATAGGTCTTTTGTGATACAATAGTGAATAATTGTTATCAGGACTGATTGTGAGGGTTGGAAATGTAAAGGTAGACATTTTGTAGCAAGGAGGGGAGTGATTAACTTTGCGGTCTAGGAGCGGAGGTCCCTGGGACCATCCAGGGAGAAGAGCAGAGAACAGGACCCTACCCAGAGAAGCAGTGATGCCAGAGATGATGACATGAAGAGATGGAGCAGCTGGGAACTTTAGACCCAGAGAGAGAGAGGGGCTGTGTGCTGACAACCGGGGGCAGGCTTGCAGGGTATACCCTTTGTTTGGTTGATGATACCAAAAAAAAAGAGAGAAATAGAAGATTTCAAAGAGCAGTTTGCAAAGTAAAGCATTAGGATGAGATACATAGACTTGGAATTCGAAATCCAAAAGCTAACAACACAATTAGCATTTGTCAAGCTTTTGAAATGAAGAGAACACTCAGGCCAGGAGTTTCATAGCTAAAGGCTTCCATGGGTAAAAATGCTAATGACACACAAAACACCAAAAGAAGACAGAAGGAAGACACAGAGTTAATGGACCAAAAGGAACTAGTTGGCAATCATAGCTTTGGATTCCTTCTAATCTGGAAGGAGATGGTTTCAACAGCACATTATAAAGAACGGATTTTAATTTATGGAAGAGTAAAACTTTGTGTTTTGTTTTTTTCACAATTGCCACATATAGAAAGTGAAGTTGGAAAAATAAACATAGGAGTCCTGGTGTGGTGCTGTAGGATAAGCACTAGACTGCTAACCATAAGGTCAGTGATTCAAACCCTCCAGGATTTACTTGGAAACCCTATACAGGGTCATTATGTGTCGGAACCGATTTGACGCCATTTAACAACAATAACTACATACAAAAATTTAGACTTTTAATGCCGGGGAATTGAGATCATTCTTCTTGACTGGCTCCATTTTCTACATTACATTGAACTGAGACTGACGGTTGCATCTTCTTGTTGTCATTAAGTGCCATCAAGTAGGTTCCAACTCATAGTGACCCTGTCTAGGGTTTCCGAGGCAGGTGGATTTGAACTGCTGATCTTGTGGTTCAAACAGACATTGCAGTTGATTACTTATCCTACAGTGCCACCCCAGGACTCCATCTTGACAGAGAGACATTTGTTTGGTCAGAGATTTGAAGAGCCTGCAAAAAGAAAAAGAGAAAGAATTCTTACATGTGAGCAAGAAAATGGAGTGCAATGGCCTTATTTAACTACCCCAAAGTTTTGTGTTGTTTTATTGTTCTGTCTAAAATGTTTATTTTTCTAGAACCATTCTTGGCATCCATGAAGCTAATAAATATCAACATATAATAAAATAATGATTTTTCTGGCAGCAAAAACAAAAAAAGAAATTGGAAGGAATATACAATCTCTTACCCAAAAGAACTGATTGACTTTTATGTGATCAAGAGCCGATGCCATTGAGGGAGGAAGCCCAAGCTGCACTAAAGACAGTGACAAAAAACGAGGCTCCCAGAATTGGCAGAATACCATTTAAGCTGTCTCAGCCAACAGAGGGAATGCCAGAAGTGCTCACCCCTCCACACAAAGAAATTTGGGAAACTACATGACCAAGGCATCCATATTTGTGTTCATTCCCAAGAAGGTGAGCCAGTATTTAATTAAAGTTAATTCAAAAACTATTGCAGCAGTATATCAACAAGGACCTGTCAAAAATACAAGCCTAATTTAGAAGAGGATGTGGAATGAGGGTTATCATGGCTGATGTCAGATAGACCTTAACTGAAAGCAGAGACTGCCAGAAAGATATTTACTTGTGCTTTACTGACTTTGCAAAGACACTCGATTATGTGAATCATAAGAAACTATGGCTAGCATTGCAAAGAGTGAATCTTCCAGAAGACTTACTAGTGCTCTGAGGAGCCTGTACAGAGATCAAGAGGCAGTTGGTAGAACAGAACAAGAGGACACTGAATGGTTTCAAATCAGGAAAGATTTACGTGAGGATTATTTCTTTTCGTCATACTTATACGCTGTGTGACTACTCTGAGAAGTTTAACTATATAAAGAAGAATGCAACTTTAAGATTGGAAGAAGGCTCATTAACAACCTGCAATATGCAGATGATACATCCTTGCTTGCTGAAAACAATGAGACCGTGAAACACTTGCTGGTAAAGATCAAAGACTACAGCTTAATGCTTGTTTCTAGAACCTATCCATTTCACCTCCTGGTTCCAGCCCTCACCAACTATTGGGGAGTGAGACCCAGGCTAGAGTTATAAACGTTGGAGTCCTGAGTATTAAAGGTGGCATTTAAACCACAAGCCTGGATACGATTCCCTAGGGCTTATCTCTCTGTGCAGAAATGGATACCTCCCAGGGGATCAGTGCCTCTCAGGTGTGTCAAATGTTCCAAAGAGTGAAGGTGTCTACAGAGGTAGAATAGATGCATGAAGTCATCACCAGTCTCTCCAGTTGTCTCATATCCACGGTTCCCGGGTGAAAACCACGTAAGAGGTGACACCTTCACTGAGTCCAGCGGGTTCTTCTCCTGGTGGCCCTGGAGTGGGTCTAGAGACTCTGGAGAGATGCAGTCGTGAACTCAAGCTCCAACAGGCCTGGTCAGCTTGTGGCCTGGGTGGTGACTCCTCTCTCTGTAAATGGGCATCCTGAGCAGTGCTCCTTCCAAAGCACTTTGGGAGTCCTGTGAGTTGGCCCCTGGGGACAGCACAGGCAGGGTGCGGTGGGTGAGAACAGGCTCTGAAGCCTGTCGGACTTGAGTTCCATTTACTGCATGGCCTTTTCTAACTGTGACCTTGGGTGCTTCTCTTGAGACTTGCTGTTCCTTCATCCATTGGTAACTACAGCCCTACCCACCCTGCAGTGGTATTTGGAGGGTACAGCAAGCTAATGCATGTAGTAGTGCCCGACACAGAACACTCTTATCATTATTCCATATATCAGCAGCGATTAAAAGGTTGTGATCTGCGATTAGGCCGCCTGAGTTCAAATCCCTGCTTAGTGCGTTTGTAACTTTAATACTGATTAAGGACCTCTGAGAGTGTAGTGGTTAGGAATCCGGCTGCTAATCTCAAAACAGTTCAAAACTACCAGCTGTTCTGCGGGAGAAAGAAGAGGCTTTCTGCTCCCGTAAAGATTTACAGCCTCGGAAACCCTATGCAGGGTCACTGTGAGTCGGAACTGACTCCATGGTACTTAACAACAACAAATGCCCTCAGCTGGAGTACAGAGTTTTTTTAGGTCCCTTAAGGCACTTGACTATCCTTGAAAGGTTAGATCAGTTTACACCCACACCATTCAGCACAGTCTTAAACCTACTTTACATCTGAACCAGCAATTCCGCTTTTAGAACTCAGTCCCAGACATAATCCCACACTTGCTTCAAGCTGCATGTAGAGGGCAAACCACTAGAGCCTTGTGGTAAAGTGAAAGTGAACCTTGTGTGCAGTCAATGAAGAGGCTTTGTGAGGATAAAAAGTGAAAGCAAATGTAGACATTACCCTGGAAAGTGAAAAGTCAAGTTGTAAGACAGGGTTCATTCTGATTCCATTTTTATTTAAAAGAAAAATTAAGTACATTCACCAATGTGGCTTCCTATGTTGCATTGTAAAAGAGAAGACCCCAATTGGGCGGTAAATAGGAAAATGCACTCAGCTGCATTTGGGGATGATGCTGGAGCCCCCAGTAAGGCTTCAGTGAGTTAACACTTAGAGCATGTGATCAGTAAACACCTCTGAGGTTAAAGGTTGCTACATCCCCAGGTGTAAGCTGCTGGGGAAGTTATGACCCGTGTGAGCCGAGCAGACAAGCGGGGAATGGGTGGGACCGTCACACCGTATTTAGGGCTAGAATCCTCAGATGGACTTGGGCCAGGCCTGAGTCACTTCTAACTGAGTCTCCTGTCTCCCTGCAGAGCCTTTGTGGCATGTGCCCGCCCAGGCCCGGCTCTCAGCCATGACCGGAAGCAGCAGCAGCGGCGGGGGCAGCAGCAAGCATGCCTCCAGGCAGGATACAGCAGGCAAAGATTCCCCCAACAGGCATTCCAAAGTGAGTCTGGCCCCACCTGCCCGTTGGGGAGCCGGGGCTGCCACCCTGGCTGCCGTGGGTTGGATAGCTCCGTCTGGGCGTGGGCCTCTGAACACACCCTGGGTGTAGGCCTCTGAACATCTTCCACTCTAGCGGAGGGGCCGAAGGCCTAGTTCTGGAGTTAGACAGGCTGGCTCCAGCCCTCACCAGCCATGTTCCCCAGCCTTGGGTGGGGTCTCCAGAAGGAGAAGGAGGTGCCTGTGAAGCCAGGGAGGAGGAAGTGACCCATTTGGGATGGAAGATTGGGAGCTCAGTTTGGAAAAGTGGCGTCTGAGGTATGGGAAGCACATTACAAACATGATATTCATGCTGCCCCACAGGGCAGGGTTATTGTGACCCATTTTACAGATAGGGAAACTGAGGCACAGAGCTATTAAATCTGACTCTGGGGCTCACACTTAAATGGAGGACGGCTCCAGGGCTCTGGGATGACGGCTGACCCCCTGCCCTTACCGTCCCAGGGAGAACCTCAGTACTCCAGTCATTCCAGCAGCAATACCCTGTCCAGCAACACATCCAGCAGCCACAGTGATGACCGCTGGTTTGACCCCCTGGACCCCCTGGAACCCGAGCAAGACCCCCTCTCCAAGGGTGGCTCTAGCGACAGCGGCATCGACACCACCCTCTACACCTCCAGCCCCCGCTGCGTGTCCCTGGTCAAGGCACCGCGCCCAGGCAAGCCACACAAGCCCCCAGGAAGTATGGGTCTGTGTGGCGGGGGGCGCGAGGCTCCTGGAAGGCCCCACCACACAGACAGACGACGGGAGGTCTCCCCGGCCCCAGCGGTTGCTGGTCAGAGCAAAGGCTACCGGCCGAAACTCTACTCCTCGGGCTCCAGCACTCCAACAGGCCTCGCCGGGGGCAGCCGAGACCCACTGAGGCAGCCCAGGTAAGGCATCCATCCTCCCCTCCCCCACGGTGCTGACATGGGATTTCTCCCAGAGACAAGCCTGTGGGCCCACCCCTCGACCTTCAGGGGACCTCAGGTCAAGAGATACCTCTCTGTTCCGTCTGGCTCTAGCTCTGTTCTCTCTACTCAGACCCGTAGTTTGTATGCTTCCTGGGGCCTCCGACTGTACCTGTCAGGCGTGTGTTCGGCTGCAGGTCATAGGAGTCCTGACACGCTGTGGCTTAAATAAGGTGAGGTTTAACACAGTGCAGTAAGGATGTAACATAATGAGTCAGAAGTTCAGAGAGGAGACTGAGAAGTTACCCTCAGCGCGAGCTCTGAGGTGGAGCTCAGCTATGTCTCCACTCTCCAAATTTGTTACCAATTCTGACACCAGCCGTCCAACCCCAACACTTAACTTCTCTGCTGGCTTCAGTAATCCGTTGCATGGCCCCATAGGACTCACAGAGTCCTCAGGACTGTTGGGTGTGTTAGGGCAGTCACAGGCTGGCACTCAGGGTCAGAATTAGCCTGGAGGGAACGGAAACAGCTCAGGAGACAGTTGGTCAGTCCAGGCAGCTTCCAACCCTGGCAGCTTCCAGCTTCTCGTCGGCCATACCTCTCAGCTGTGCCTGGAGACCACCTCTGCTGCCCCAGCCTGGCCTCTGCCCTGCTCAGGCTCATGTTGTGTTGCAGCTCTTTAACTGCACCAGCAAATGCCCAGGGGCAGCCCACTCTGCCAGCAAGGCCCTTGTCCAAAGACACTCAGCTCTCGCTCCATGCAACTTCTCAGGCTACCGCAGCTAATTTGTGCCTGTCTCCTGGTTGCCACCATCCAGAGACACTGTCATCTCCCACCATCTCTTGCTATCTTTGTTGTTAGCTCTTCTCTCCTTCTCCTGGGTTTAGGAGTTTCTCAGCTCAAGGACTCCAGGTCCAAGGGCTGCATCATCTTGGTGAGAGTGAGGTCCCACCCAACTTCTTCAGGATTAGCCTTTATGAGCCTCACAGGTGACAAAATTGACTAATCCCCTCAGAATCCATAGTCACCTCATTTGCATAATAATTGACCAATCCTTGCCAAAGGTTTTATATACTTCATTTGCATAGTAAACTGCCCAATCCCTTCCCAAGATTGAGACCTAGCAAATCATCTTGGCACAACTATAAACACAGGGCCAGAAAGGCTGTACATAAAGAGGACCTCAAGGACCGGGTGCCCTGTGTCTTTCTGCCCCTTCATCCCGGCACCCTCCTGGTCCCAAGATGGCTATTGTGCCTCTCAGGGCAGCAAAGAACCAGGGGAAAGGTCCCAGCAGCCATTGAACACCCCCTTTCTATGGATCAAGGAAATGCCTGCCCAACTCCTCCTTTAGTAGACACTGCCAGGTGACATGACTTCCCCTGCTGTGCGGATCATGATCTCTGGGAGATCAAGGTCATGTTGCTAAGTACTGTGGAGTTGGTTCCTACTCATAGTGACCCTGTTCAGGGTTTCCGAGGCTGTAAATCTTTATGGGAGCAGAAAGCCTCACCTTTCTCCTGCAGAACGGCTGGTAGTTTCGAACTGCCAATCTTGAGGTTAGCAACCCAACTCATAACCACTATGCTACCAGAGCTGCTTAATTGCATTCCTAGGAAGCAGTTATTTCATTTTTTCATTTGTCCTCCATTTCTCAGGTGCAGAAACTAGTGTGATGCTGTGGATTAATGCACCAGACCATAAAGTCACTCTGAATGTAAGACCGGCGGTTCAAGCTTACCAGTCACTCCTTGGAAACCCTATGCAAGGTTGCTAAGTGTCATCGAGTCAGTTCCAACTCTTAATAACCTTAATATAGGGTTTCCGAGCAGTGACTGGTGAGTTTGAACTGCCGACCTTGTGGTCCTGTGTTTTATCCTACACCCATGTAACAAACTTGATGCCCATTACAGTGAATACATATCCACTTAGAATATAACATTTCCCTTCCAGTACCACCCAAAAGACCTCGGGCACCTCATTTTTGGAAAAGCAGCTCCACCCTAAAAAGCCTGGTTGCCTAGGAGAAAACTTCAGGAAGCAGCTTTAATGAATAGATAAGAATGATTTGCAATTAGCATCAATTGTCTGTATGCAAATTAGAGCGCCCAAGCGCAGGGCCTTCTTCTGCAGCCGGCTCCAACGCCCATTTTATTCTCCATAGTTCTGGCCCCAGCCAATCCTGGTGTTTCCGGGTAATTTGATGCTCACCCTCCTGCCCCAGATACCATCTACTCCCCTTTATATGTCAAGGGTTCTGAAACCCCACAGGAGTTCAAGTTCACAAACAGGGGCCTGTGCTGGGCAACCCCAGCCTTTCCTGCAGGCCTGAATGCTTCCCTCTCCCAGCTCCTGGTGGTTGGCCCTGTCTGATGTTACCCACCTGCCCGCCCTTTCAGGAAGGCTTCCTCTCCCAGCTGCCTCAGCTGTCAGCAAGAACACTATCTGGCCCAAGTCACACCCCTTCCTAAGGCAGCCTGACCCCCTGCCATCAAGCAGACTCTAACTCATAGCAACCCTGTAGGACAGCGGAGAAGGGGTCTTCCAAAGCTGACTGTGGCGGTGAGTCCTTCTCTCAGGGAGCGGCTGGTGGGTTCTGCTGTAGAACCTGGCATCTGAGGCTCTTGGCCCATGAACGATTCTGGCCAGGGAGAACCTAATTCCACCCTGTGCCTAGGGTTAAGTGTTCAGGTGCCAGTTTTTCTTGAGCAGCTCATGCACCTCTGAAGAGGAACTGCCAGAGCGAGAAGCAGAGAATATTTTTAAGTGGGTCTGGGGCCCTCACAGGAACTCCCCTGGACACACGCCTTGATGTTCTCTCTCCTGGTTCTAAGTGTCTGGATGCGTTTCTATCTGAAACAGCCCCAGCCCTGGGATGCACTACTCTACCAGTGACAGGTGTGCGACAGTCTTCTGTTTTCTGGGCTCTACAAATGGACACCATGTGGAAGTAGAACTTTGGAAACACATCATGGCTTCACACAATGACTTCCCTCACCCGGGTGACCTAAGTTTGTCTTTGTCTTGGTTTTACTCCTGCTTAAAACTTAAATCTCCATAGGATACATAATGGACTACAGATCACACGGTCAGCAGTTTGAGCCCACCAGCCACTCTGGAGGAGAAAGATGAGGCTTTTGGCTCCCGCAGAGATTTAAAGCCTTGGAAACCCTATGCAGGGTCACTATGAGTTGGAATTGATTCAATGACGCTTCACATCATAATGTTTGTGTATTTGAAGATGGGGTCTCTTTTCTCCCCTACAACAGTTTCAAACTGCTCAACTTTCAGTTCGCAGCAGAGCCCCCGGGGCTCCTTTACTGACATTATGGTATTGTCCTTGTGAAGTGTCACAGAGACCCTGTATAGGGGTTACATAGAGTGGCTACCGGGTTTGAACCCTGACCTTGTGGCTAGCAGTCCAGTGCCTGTCGTACAACACCACATCAGGGTGTCTAATGACACTACAGCCACACTCAAGTATGACAGCTGTCAGATTTGTCAGAGAACCACCACTGCTAAGTCATGGACCATTTACCTGGGTACTGTTCGACATTAAAATGTAAACAGAACAGACTGAGACTGGGTGCCTCAAACGCAGTGAGGCTAACGACAAGAGGGCCTTGAAAAGTTCATGGAAACCCCTCCTCCGTTATTTTTCAGTTCCATTTGTTACCCCAACTTTTGGAAGCCCCTTTGTATTCATTTGTGAAATGTGGGCCGCACACTGGCTCACACCTATACTTACATACAGCCCTGGACCCAGGTCTGACTGGGGGGTGTGGCCCAGGAGCCCTGCAGTTACTGCTGGAGGATGTGTCCAGGTGTGGAGGAGGGTAGAGGGCTAGCAAGCCCAAGGATATAAAGACCCCCTGTACTGAGAAGCCCCATAGTCTTCTCAGGGGGTCCTGGGCTCCAGCTCCTCAGCTCAGTGTTCTCTGGGAAGTGGGTGAAGCTATGAGCCTAGGGGTCAGTACTGGGATCCTTGCCTGGGGTCAGAGGCTTCAGGAGGGTCCATGGGCGAGGGAGAGCCCTGGCGCTCTGGGAGGTGGTTCATACGTTCATCAGAGTCTCTATGTGCCTGTGGTTCAGACCCCAGGTTGTTGGTTCATCAATACCTAAGCCTCCTCATGGACTCCCCTGCCTTCTTCATACATGGTTTGCAGAGTGTGGTTCTTGGACCCAGAGCAGTGGCATCAGCAACATTGCCGGAACGTTTTATAGATGTAAATCCTCAGAGCTCACTCACCCTGGTCAGATGGAATGAGAAACTCTGGGTGGGGCCTAGCACCCTGCCCTTAGAAAGGCCTTCAGGTGCCTTCTTACTAGACCTTGATCTCCCAGAGATTCTGCACAGCAGGGGAAGTCATGTCACCTGGCAGTGTCTGCTAAAGGAGGAGTTGGGCAGGCATTTCCTTGATCCATAAAAAGGGGGAGTTCAATGGCTGCTGGGACCTTTCCCCTGGTTCTCTGCTGTCCTGAGAGGCACAACAGCCATCTTGGGACCAGGAGGGTGCGGGATGAAGGGAGAGAAAGACACAGGGCACCCGGTCCTTGAGGTCCTCTTTATGTACAGCCTTTTTGGCCTTGGGTTTATAGTTGTGCCAAGATGATTTGCTAGGCCTCAATCTTGGGAAGGGATTGGACAGTTTACTATGCAAATGAAATGTGTAAAACCCTGGTAAGGATTGGTCAATTATTATGCAAATGAGGTGACTATGGATTCTGAGGGGATTGGTCAGTTTTGTCACCTATGAGGCTCATAAGGGCTAATCCTGAAGAAGCTGGGTGGGAACTGACTGGAGTCCTTGAGCTGAGAAACTCCTAGACTCAGGAGAGGGAGAAAAGAGCTAACAACAAGGACGGCAAGAGAAGGCGGGAGGTGACAGCGGCTCTGGATGGTGGGACCCAGGAGACAGGCACAAATCAGCTGCGGTAGCCTGAGAAGTTACATGGAGTGAGAGCTGAGTATCTTTGG